CACACACACACACACACACACACACACACACACACACACACACACACGATAGCACCTGGCAACATGTGACATTCTCAGATAGAGAGACAAACCAAAGAAATTTCCTCTGTAATTCTAACCTGCTAGGTAGAAGGTGATAGTGTCCCTTCAAATTCCTTTACTGCATACAAGACTTTAAGGAACTATGGGCTACCCTATGACTGGAACTGCCAGTCTGTGCTTAACAGGAAAGCCTAACCTCCCTTTTGGTACTTTCTGAGGCATCCTCTCCCCATCCCTGAAGCTGACTTTTCTCTCCTCAGCCAGCATTAGTCTGTCCTTTGCTCCCCTAAATCTTCTCCTCTGAAGAGTTTTCCAGAGCAAGCTGCTGATGTGTTGTATTATGGAAAAGCCAGGACTGTGAGAGTTCAGTGGCTTCCATGGTTCCCTCTTTCCAGTTTGAGTTCCTATGTCCCCCTTGCACCTGCCTCCTTCTGGTTCTTGAATCAGTGTTTGGTATCTTGTGTTCACCTTCTGGGTTGGGATGCCAAGCCTGGGACTTACAAACTGCTTGGTGGTGTGTCACACACGACACTCCAGGCATTTTCCTTTTCTAATTTGTTATGTTTCTTTTCTTGTCTAGTGATACCTGGAAAGGTGATATGCTCTTCAGAAGCCCTCTACAAGAAACTATTCTCAACACATGAAGGCTATGAGCAGTTACTCCAGAAAGAGTTGAACTCACTTTGTAAAGGAACGCTGGTCATCTCTAAGAGCTGGGCTTTGGATCTGGGCTTGCAAAAGAAGCAGGAAGTCATCTTGGATGTGCTTCATATTTCCCAGGACAGTCTCCTGACCCTGCACGGCTTTGTCCGGGGAGATGAGGACCTGGAGGACAACAGCACTCTTCTGAGTGAACTAGGCGCTGAGTTAAAGGGCTGTTATAAACAAACTGCTCTAACATTAAAGCAGACGTTGGTAAACCGCGGTGGTTACACTGGGAAAATAGGTATCATAGTAAAGATAACGTACTTGGGTCATAAGGCAGTGTGTCTTTATGATTCAAGCTCAGAAATCCGTTACCCCAGAAACTATTATCTCACAAGCAAGGCAGTAAGGGACATAGAGAAAGCTCTTGCTAAGATCTTGGGAGGTCGTGAGTCTTTCTACAGTTTTCCCAGGAAAAACTGTAGTGATTATGTTATCTCTGCGTTTTTAAAGACACGCAGTTATGTAGTCTACTTTTCAAGAAATGTCTTATCTCGTGTTCGAACCTGGCTTGACATAAATCAGTGTAGTACGACACAATGATATTTCACAGTATGTATGTGATAATGTTCTCGAATTCTATAAAAATATGGAAAATGCAACATAGAGCTTCAGGGAAATAGAAACCACGTTCTGGAAAAGGGATTGGAGATGGGAATGACAAAGCATAGCATTAATAATGTGTCCTTGAGCCATGCAAGTGGCCCATGCCTTTGATTCCAGCACCTGGAGGGAGGCAGCTCATCCTGGTCTATGGAAAGAGTTCCAGCACAGCCAGAGCTATGCAGTGAGAGCTGCTCTCAAAAGTTATTAATTAATTAGCTAATTCATTAATTAATACATGTCTCTCCTTATCTGCATAACCACTCCTTCTCACTGATGAGATGCATGGTGCCTTCAATGTATCTATGGGAGACACTCTTCCTATAGAAACCAGTGAAAAATATGTTGAAATATGTGGCATGATACGGAAAAAGTTTTGTCATGAGGTTGCTATCCAGCCTTGTGTGTTATTGCTGTTAGATGCTTGATTTGTATGTGACAACCTGAGGAAAGATTTCCCACATGTACAAAATCACAGAAGCAAAGGACACAGTATGGGGAGATTAAATGCTGACTGCTCACAACATCATATAAGAGATTTCCAGAAAGGTCAAAGAGACATGGAAGCTGACTGCAGTTATTTTCTGTGGGGAGAGTACATTTTTTCTTAAAGGTAAACATTGTATCTCTCAGCTGTCAGACAGTCCACAGGTCTTACAACATGCTAGCAGTCTCTATGGGGCTAGAGCATGAGGTCTATTTTTCTATTTGTATGACCATTTCCTATGAAGTATTGATAACAGCATTTTAAGATGTCGATATTGCTCATTTAGAGTTTGATGTGTTGCATTTTTCACATTCTTATCATCGTGTTGCTTGTGCTGTAGATAACCCTGTAAAGGTATTTACAGCATTGCGTTTACATGCGAGTATTACGAGTTAATTGAACTGTTGGTATTTCTTTCATAAAGGAAGAAAACGTCTTCATTGTACATCTATGATTGTGACGGATAAAATTTCCCAACATTTGGCCCTTAGCGGCTGTTCTATATGCAGTGGTAACCTGTTGTGACTTTTGATGGAGCTCATCAGAAGACTGGTTGCCCTTCACGCGAGTTCTGATGATGGGGGCTGTGAGCTGAATGCTCACAGACGCCAATCATCTTTAGCCATGTTCTGCTCTGATCTATTTCTTTATCAGTAAGATTTATTTTAAAAATCTATGTCATTTTTCATCTACTCTGTTCTCAAATCTGTGTCTTTATGAATACAATTGTATCTTTCTACGAAGAAGCTTCATTGTTCAATCTGAGAAGTTAACAAAATTTCAATGCCAAACAAATGTTCTGCGATTTTAATATGTTAAATAAATAATCTTTACAAAATAAAAAATCTTTACAAAACATCATCAAATTTTCTTAAATAATTCTTATTGCTTTTGAAGACCAGTGAAGGAAGAAGACACATTGTCATAGCTGCATGAGCACTTTGGGACACCTGTCACAGTAGCTAGACTAGAGGATGCCCTACGATTATTCATCCACACAAGTGCCACTGGGGTGAGACACATTAGAACACTTGAAGATGGAGTTGACATCACTGTGAAGTCATGAGAGTAGGCAGGGTTCATCACGGATGACCTAGGAAGTTGTTGCACCTCAAGGCTACAGGCACTCACGGGAGGATCATTGTCAGAGAGTTCACAAGAGCAGCTAATGACAGCCTCTTTGGGTGACAAGCCAGGAGCTGGATTGATATAGGAAATTAAGAAGGAACCCAAGTAAAGGATGACTGTAACACTTTATGGCAGGGACGTAGACAGGGGTTTGGATCAGGAAAGGACAGCGGAGTTCTAGTAATAACATGGCTGGCTGGAGGTAAAGGTTTCAGGTCAACTGGACAAACCTCAGGGAGACAGTGAGGTGATGGCCCAGTGGATGGAGGCATCTGCCACCCTGCCTGACGATCTCCAGCCCCAGGGATCTTGGTGCAGGAGAGAGAAAATTGACTGAAGCAAGTTGTCTTCTGACCTCCACATGGTGTTGTAGCCCATGAACACACAACTCCACAGCTACACACAGATACATTTACACACTGCTAACTTTTTTTATAATGCTACATTATAGGGCCTAAAGCAAGTGTCCCACAGAGGTTTCACCTATCTGACTAGAAGAATTTAATGCACAGAAATCTTTTTCAGAGGCATGTTTGTGTAATCCCTGGATTGCCAGGCATCCTGGGGAATTCTAAGCTTCCTTGTGCAGCTAGGAGCTGGAATGCTGCTGACTGTGCCAGGTCCTTGGCCACTCTGATTTCTGCCTTTTACCATTAGCAGAGTGTGTCTGCAGGGTTTCCATATGTTTATCCTGGGTTTTGCCAATATAATGAACTGAAGCATTTCCAGCAAAATTTAAAACAAGCATTTATTAAGTATTAAATACTGCTCAAGACTACTGAGAGGAACTCACAGCCTTGCTTTACAGAATCTTCTGAGAGGAAAGTAGACAAAAGGTCTTGACTTCTGATTTCATCCACTGGGCTGCGCTGAGGAAAACCAGGACTAATGATCTGGCATGAAACGCAAAAGGGAAGCCCTCATATTTGTGTTGGGGTACATTATGTGGAGATATGTCTTTCTATATTCAATCTTTAAGGGATAAACCAGCAGTGAACTAAGTACTAGCTAGAGAGCTGAGTACTAGCAGGATCTTGGTATTCTTCGTTCTGTGGCCCATCAGAGGTCTTATATTTTGTAAAGATTCCTACTCCGTCACTTGTCTATTGGCTGTAATAAAAAACTGACAGAGCTGAGGGCCAATAGCTGGGCAGGAAGTGGAGGGCAGAACTTCCTGGAGAGAGACTCCAGAAGAAGAAAGCAAAGGCACCAAATATGCCTGGGGACTCGAGAAGAAAGAAGCTCCTGAACAGGATCAGAGAGGTAGAGCTGGCCACACAGTGGAAGGTAATGCCATGATTAATCAGGATAAACTAGAAAGTGGTCTGGGAATCTACCCAGGTCTAGACTTAAGCATTAAAATACTCCAAAGCCTCTGTGTCATAATTTGTGTCACTGGTGGGTCGGAAAGTCCTGCTATCTAACTGAAATCACACGGGGGCCACTTTAGGAGGAAGAAACTGACCAGTTTGAGAGGAACAACATCCTAGGGTCCCGGAGACTAAGAAAACAGAAAAGAAACCCAGAAAATAATCGTGAGGCCTTAGCAATGTCATGAATGTATGTGAATTTTACCACATCCTTCCTGCAAGCACTCCTGTACTTAGTCACCATCTGTGGAGGCTGTCAGGAAAGGACAAGGAGGCCAGCCTGTGGTATAGTCTCCACCAAAATGCTCACATGAGTTCCTTCTATATTTCATGGCCCAGACTCCCTGCTGTGGAAACCCTGGGGAAGGAGCACAGATTCAAGTGGATCTAGGGGAAGGAGAGTAAGAGTGAAGCTTTCATGAGGATCTCACCTCCTGAGCTCAGAGTTGAGAACTAACCACTGTAACCCCTGATACTTCCAGATCCTCATCTGTTGTGTGTGCCTACTGCATGCACACTTATTACACATGGTTAACATGGTTGACAGCGGTGTCAGTATATGTATTCTAGTTCAAAACCTGTTTTTCCATTGTTCCAAACTTTCCATTTCAGTAGATTTTCATACCACCATAGTCATTTTTCTTTAAAATTCTTCTTTTCCAGATTGTACAGTGTTGAAAGAAAAAGACTGTCAACCTAGAATTCAATAAACACACACACACACTTCACCTAGTGGATAGAAAAGAATGGTGTCCTTTTCTGGTGAAACAAAGGCTTTGTCACCAAGACACCTTTGTCACATGAAATGTTAAAGGCTGATGGAAATTTGAACCAGAGTGACACTTAGAGTCACATGAATAAAGCCTATACTACAGGAGCAATTATGTGAATATTAAAAGGTAATTCATCTTTCTCAGTGTTCAAAAATTACTGAAAAGATAAAGATACAACTATACTATGGTGCTTATAAAATGTAGAAATAAAAAAAATGTGGTAATTACAGGGGACTGGAAAGATGGCTCAGAGCACTGTCTTGACTCAGAGCACAGTCTTATAGAGGACCTGGCTTTGACTCCCAGCACCCACAGGTGGGTCAAAGGCCCTGGTAACTCCAGTTCTCTGCCTCTGGCCTTGGTGAACACCTGAGAGGTGCCGGTTTCCTTGGAGTGATGTTTTTGAGCACTGTCTGAGCACTGTGTAAAGACTATTCTTGTACTATTCAAATGCTAATTTCCATGGTGGCAGAGATCTGATTACAGCTGGACTTTGGTATTGTAATTATTATGAAGCATATGCAGTCTTCTTCTTCTTTTTTTTTTCCTCTTTCCGTTTTTTTTTCCCCCTTCCTTTCCAGTCCTGCTCGCTCCAGCCCAAAGATGTATTTATTTACTATATATAAGTACACTGTACACTGTATCTGTCTTCAGACACCCATCAGATGTCATTACAGATGATTATTGTGAGCCACCATGTAGTTGCTGGGATTTGAACTCAGGACCTCCAGAAGAGCAGTCAGTGCTCTTAACCACTGAGCCATCTCTCTAGCCTTAATCTTAGCATTTTGTAAACTTTGTTCTCCATCACCTCCTGATTAGATGTCTTTACTGCGGGCTTCTCCAGCATCCAGTTAGCATCTCAAAGTGACACAGCAGGAGCCTAGGTAAAGCCTCTGCAGGGAGTTGTTCTCCCTATATTGGGAGAAAAGGGGAGGAGGACTTATCTATCCGTGCGGTGCCCTTTGTTCTCAGTACTTGGAAGACTCTCAGAGCAAGTATTCACATGGAAAAAAAAAACCTGACTGCAGGTCTGCACATTAATCAGATGATAAATCGAATAAGGTTATAACAGAGAATGCCTACCTGCATTTGCACTAGGAACAATGATCTGGCTTAACGTTGACCATTTGTTACTATGTTGCAGGGTCATGGAAACGTTTTAGATTATAACTAAGCCAGCCTTGAAGTTTTGACAAACTCAGTCGATATCTTATATCCTGGTTTTGCACCTGGGGTCTTTAGGACATCCAGTTAATGGTTTCTGTATCCCCTTGGAATGTGCCCTAAGTTTTAGAAGTCTGCTGTTATTTCTGAAGCAATGAAGCAGTCCTGTTATAAAGTTTCTGTGAGTTTTGCTATTTGGAATCAATGGTAACTCTTGCATGCTAGATGTTTCTGCAGAATGAAACGCTCTTTGTCTTTGCATACTGTCTGAGTCTGAGGTCTTCCTTCAGCAATTTTCAGACCCTTACAGTGAGATGTAGAGCAGGCTAGTGTTGTCTGGTTAGAATAACTGAGAATCTGCCCAGCTACAGTGGCCAAAGCTTATAATAAATACAATAAGTCTCTGTGTCTTTATTCAGAGTAAGGGTGGGCATAAATAGTTATAGTTACACACAAAGGCACATACATACATGCATACACAATTTAAAAATAAATGCTTCAGGTTTTGTGAT